TAGATAGATAGATAGATAGATAGATAGATAGATAGATAGATAGATGGATAGATAGATAGATAGATAGATAGATGGCACAACGATACATTTATTGATTTACAATCTTAACACCATAAAACTTTTTTTCTATTTTTGAAAAAAAACAATTTTTAAAGGGCACTTTAATCCTAGCAACACATGACTGTGCCTTGTGTCTAGATTATTAGTGTCTGTGTGCCATTTACTACAACACAGTGCCTTACTGTGAAGACAAAACTGTCAGTGGACGACGGCGGTATAACACCTCACATACCTGAGAAGGCTGTTTCGACTTGGAAGCAATCCTCAAGAATTCCCGCTGAGCCTCAAATGCATCCTTCACGAGCTGTGCCTATTAGCCAACAGAGACAACATTTCAGTTGCTAAAGGCAATTGCAGGAGGTACTGGTAGGGACCTTCTTAAATTGACAAACAGCACAAACTCGTATGAATGTGCATACCCAGTATTTCCTTGACATTTAATGCCATTTTTCACATTTATTTCACACAAAAACTACCGGACATCTTTTTACTCAAAAAACTGAAATATACATTTGTTCCTCATCAGATGCCCAGCTGAATACGTTACGTAGCCTGCAAGCTCCTCAGCACTGGTGCGTTAATCTATCACAGACAGCAATGAGAGCTTTACCAGACGAAGGAAGTAAAAGTGAGAAAGAAATAATAGCAACTACTAATATATCATAATGAAAGTGTCAATGACACTGTAGCTCACCTTGGGTGTGATAGAAGAGGGAGGGGGGATATATAAAGCAAGAGTATATATGGGAGAACTCCCATTATATAGCATATCTCCCATTATATAGTCTTGATAATGATATGCATATAGGTTTTGATGCGAAAATAAATGTTTCAGATCTGAAAGTCTGAAATCTTGACGAGAGATGGTGCTACGCCTAAATGATCACCATTTTGGTTTTCAAATATCGCGCAAATAAAAACAATAAAATATTCCAGTCAAATTACTGTAACGAAGAATCTAAAACACAATATTACACGTATATAGGTATGATTGTAGAGTTGTTAACCAGTTAGACGAAATAAACGTAATAGGACGTTGTCATCTCTCCCATAGGAGTAACAACTGATTTGGGGCTAGCCTTACACATTCATATACCAAAATTTAACAAAATTGAATGAATCTAGATGGCCATTTTCATTTTTGCCAAAAAGTGGGCGTGGCTCGAAAGTAGGTCGACTGGCGTGCTCCAAAATAGGACGTTCAAATCTCTCCCATAGGAGTAACAACTGTATGCAATTTGAAACATGTGGGTCAAACGGTTCTTGAGTTATCGTTGACCGTAAGCAGACACTGAAATGCATAGTGAAATTGCCAAAATCTACCTAATTTGCATAATTTCAAAAAAATATCAAAACCCGTGTGATAGTCCAGTTCTTATTCATTCACATACCAGAAATGAGCAAAATCCGTTGAACCTGAACTGACTTATGGCCATTTCCATTTTTGCCAAAAAGTGGACATGGCTCGAAAGTAGGTCGACTGGCGTGCTCCAAAATAGGACGTTCAAACCTCTCCCATATGGCGCTGTCACACCACCGTATGAAAGCCAGCGTATACCGACGTATCAAAATTTCTCTAAAACGCTGGCATACGCTGAACTATCGGTGCTTTTTTTAATTTTGGGCGTATACATGTATAGCGTATTCATAACGAGTTGGACGTACATACATAACGTATTAGTAACGTATATAGAACGTTTCGATAACTTATAGATAACTTATACCAACGAATGCATAGCGTGTTGCCGGCGTTCACAACTTATGCCCAACGATAGTCTAACTTAGGCATAGCGCGCGGCAGCGTATACCCGACGATCACGTGTCGTAGCCTATAAAAAGGCTGCCGCTCGACGATTCAATTCATAACCGCACTAGACATCGCAGTATCAACATCACCGTCGCAGTATCAACATGCCAATACCATTTTTATATACCAATTCCCCTAAACGCTGCCAATACACCATTATACGGTAGCTGTAAGTTAGAAACACGTTCAGTAAGTTATGTTGTCGTCCGGAACACGTCTACATACGTCAATATGCGTTGGAGATAAGTTTGATACAAGTTACACATAGGTTCAAAGCATGTTACTCATAGGTTAGAAATAAGTTTTGTGTACGCTAGACATTACCTCGACGTATTTCGACTTATGAGCAAACATTATGGCCCGCGTATGCGGGACATACGTATGGGCATACGCTGGCATACGTCGAAAATTTGTGTGCATGCACAAAATTTTCCGACGACCTCGCCGTACTACGACGTATACCAGCGTGCTTCAGCGTGCTCCTAACTTATACAAAACTTACCCATAACTTATTCGACGTACGCCAGCGTATTTGCCAAATTTTCCATACGTCGGCATACGCTGGCTAAATCGTTAAGGTGTGACAGGGCCAATAGGAGTAACAACTATATGCAATTTGCAACATGTGGGTCAAACGGTTCTTGAGTTATTGTTGACCGTAGCCAAATGTTGACGAACGAACGGACGAACGGACGGACGAACGACAACCCATGGCAATAGCTCATTTGGACGATGTCAAGGCGAGCTAAAAATTAATAATAATAACGACGATGATAACAATAATAATAACAATAATAATAATAATAATAATAATAATAGTAGATGGTAAAGTACCTGTTCATTAACGACACCACCAATCTTACTGCTGAGGCTCATGTACTGAGCAAAGGAACCCTGCAGCAACTCATCATAGGCAAGCACACTCGGTTCCACCACCTCCTCTGCAACTGAAACTAATCAAATATTTAACGATTACGATCTTTCCCACAATAGAACCACCTCGCCAGCAAGAGCCTTCAGAAGAATATAGCACCAGACAAAATTAAATTATATAGAGTTAAGTCTAAATTCTAACTAGAGATTTAAACTCTTCATGCACTCTTTAACTGCAGTTTACTGCACAACAGCTAACAATATACAAACATGTTCACATTCATGTGTTACCTACTTTTAGCTTGACCCCCACCCCCAAAATCAATTCAAAGCAAATAAAAACGAAATTGATTGAACCATCACACCACCTGACCTTCCCTGCAATATTTCTCCCATCCTCTCTTTCTACCCACACTTCTCTCTCTCTCTCTCTCTCTCTCTCTCTCTCTCTCTCTCTCTCTCTCTCTCTCTCTCTCTCTCTCTCTCTCTCTCTCTCTCTCTCTGTCTTTCTTTCTCTCTGACGAACAACCATCTTCTGCGCAAACCTCACCTGGTGCCGCAGCAGCCCCACCGCCAGGATGACCGACCTGCTGCAGTTGACACGTCGTTGATTCCAACCTAGATAGGTTCTCTTTACCCTGGCTGAACAGTTGCTCAACGCGCACCGTGGCCGACTCCAGCCTCGTCATCAGTTTCTCCATATCCGCTGCAGACATCTCTTCAACTTCGACAAGAGGGGTAGGAGACACTTTCTCTGAAGTTGGAGAATCTGAAGTAGAATAAAGCTGGGTTTACACTACCGACTTTTTGCAGTGAAATTGACGAATTGTACGAACTTCGCAGTTGTACAACCAACCGACAATCGGCAGTGTAAACGCAAAAGTCGCGCGAGCAACTGTTTACTAACAACATGCAAATGCTTACAACGTTTTGCATAACATGTCCCCAATGTAGGCCGGTTTACATAGACTCTATCCGAGGAATGTAATACAATGAAAAATGCACTCGATCAATGGTTAAAGAATGGTCGCACCACAAATTGAAAGTGAATACACATATGTGTATATGATAATCCATCGTTGAACGTGCATATGTACATATTAACACATCCGTGCCCTTCTTTTGTGCATTGAATTTCACACTGATAAACATCACGTACATACATACATGAGTTAAAAGTCCTTTGACATGCAGCCGACCGAATACGAAACTTCCGGTATATTTTCTCCTTCCTATTATACCTACACCTTACAATTATTTACTGTAATAACCTAGAGGCGGCCAATAACCACGTAGAAAAAACAACTATGAATAACTCATGAACTACAGCTACAGGCATCATTACGTGCACCGCTTCCACACAGCTTTCCCAATCCGCAGCTAAATGGCAGCATATTTCACTTTCGACTCCAAACACGTTGAGGGTTACTCGCACACGTGCAAGCAACAGTGATCAGACGTCTTGTAGTTCAACCACTAAGAATCATGGACTGCATCCCTCCCTACACACGCATGCCTTCACATTGAATACACACAGACACCTCATCTTTCACGTGAGTAACATCTCTTCGCTGACTCACCCTGACATTGATTGCTTTAACGCAATGCCGGAGATGTCTGGTCTCGAATCTGACCGCGTAGCAACAGAGGCTACAGAGCATCGATCAGTACACTGGGGCATGCCCGAGAGTTCACATTCACATACAATGATACATTACAAACACATCTATAGAAATTCTGAATACAAATATTATCAAGAGCGTATAAAGAAGTCCTTCTTTATACGCTCTTGATATTATAGTTATACCATACCACTGAATAGGTAAGACTACGGACACTAGACGGATAGCATGATAAATCACTTAGACCGTATCTAAACCTTGACAATTCACGTAAACGACGCGTGTGCGGGGATAATAAATAACGACATGTGATCGTGTGATCGTGAATGAAATGCACCAAGTACCACGTACACACTAATGGTCCTAATTGCACCTCTCTCCCTGTCACAGTTTGTCTCTGTCTCCTATCTTATCTCTGTCTCTGTCTCTGGTTCTGTTTCTGACTCTTGTCTCCCTCGCTCTCTGGGTCTGACTCTGTCTCTCTCCCTCTCTGTGTCTGTCTGTCTCTGCCCCCCCCCTCTCTCTCTCTCTCTCTCTCTCTCTCTCTCTCTCGCTACACACTCCGGCTTTCACGGCAGGCACAGCGAAGAATGAGTAATAACTTCCTTCCATCCATCCATGCCCTCACACATCCTGCTGCTGCTGCTAGCTCGATGACTCAGCGCGAATAAATTCGACTAGGATAATCCGTATACGTGATGATCACGTTTCGCCTGCCGCTACACCTGCGTCCGTCATTCAAACACACGCGCGCGCGGGGGCGCACGCGCACGAAACGACAGCTCAGGTGACAGGTTATTTACGGAAGGTCTGACAGATGACAGGTTTATTGCAGAATTCAAACCGGGGGTGGGGACGACAGGACGAGTAAGTCCTAAGAGCATGCGCATTCACGTGCATGTGCTTTTTGGATAATGAACACCAATCTGATGGCTATGTGCTACGCTCGTCTGCTTATTCACACTAGAATAGCAGGCGTTCCAGCAGATCCAGGGTGACGCATCAGGGACCATGTGCCCACCCTCAAAGAATCAACACCAGAAAACGAGGGAGAAAACGTTAAGTAGGAAATTTATAAGCCCTTCAAAACTTTCAATATACATACCGCTTCCCAAATTCAGTGCCCACCAGAGGCCAGAAATTGCCGATTTGAAGCAATACAGTGCGTGGCTGGACCCCACTGGGGGGAGGTAAAATCGCTCCTCATATATCACCCCCACCCCCTCCCACTTACCCCACTGTTAGCTTAACTTTAGATACAGCAATGTTTATTCCCGCACAAAGTTATGACTGAGAGCCGACAAAACCGACCGAGCTTTGAAAAAAAGATGGGAACCTATGACCGCGACGACAATGTAAAGGAACGCAATCGTCCTCTCCCTAATGAATGATCGAAGATTTTACTTCGACGAAATCCCCACCTACGAAATCCTTCACATATTCTCATGAATACGCAATGCAGTGTTTACGCTAGACACCCCTAGGCCTACATCAGCGTGCGTGCGTGCGTGTGAGTCATGCGTGCGTGCGTGCGTGCGTGCGTGCGTGCGTGCGTGTGAGTCATGCGGTTCGTAAACCAAACCGACAAGCTAAAAGTAGCTAACCGAGCTACAGTCAGTATTTACATCATTGCCGCGTCACACCCAGCAGAGACGGAGCAGACGCCGAACGTCCATACGCTCAGACGCTACTGCTGCTGTGCGCGCGCGCGGGCAGGTGGGCCTCGTCGCAAATACAAATCCACGAAAACCTGTTTGATGTATACCGCGTTCGTTCATAAACGAGCCACGCTTGTGCATGTACATCAAGAGTACATAATAGAGAATCTCTCGAATATGTACTCTTGATGTACATGAACGTGTATAATGCTGCATAACTCTCTAACTGCAGGCAGCCTCTTTACGCTGCGTGTCCGGTTGAGTGTACGTTCATACTGCGTAATACCTCGCGCGCGCCCTAACTACAGCTAGCGCTCACGCACATAACGGACCACACTGTGGCTGCTGACCCACTGTCGGCGATGTAGACAGGCAAGCTTTCGCTAGTCAATTTACCTGCGGTCTGGTTTCTCTCGGCCGCACGGCCGCCTGCAGCTGAGGCAGTGGCGGCTGGTGGAGGAGGAGGAGCGGAGGCGGCGGCATGCGCCAGCTGCACCTCGCGATATGCTGCCATCCACCCATCCCGCACAGCTGCCACGCTGCGCTCATCGTCGCCCTGCTCCTCAGCGGATGCTGGCTGCGAAGCCGACTTGTCTGGTTCCGAGCTCGATATGCGAGCATCTTCCGCAGCATCCCTATTGGAAATGCGAGCATGTTCCGAAGCCTCTGTACTGGACGCCCGAACATCCTCAGCAGCTTCCCTACTGCAAACTCGACCACCTTCCGCAGTTACAGAACTACCGGAAACGCGGGCATCTTCCATAGCTTCCGTACCGGAAACGCGGGCATCTTCCACAGCCTCCGCACCGGAAACGCAGGCATCTTCCTCAGCCTCCGTACCAGAAATGCGGGCATCTTCCGCAGCCTCCGTACTGGAAACGTGAGCATCTTCCGCAGCCTCCGTACCGGAAACGCGGGCATCTTCCAAAACCTCCGTTACAGAAACACGGGCATCTTCCAAAACCTCCGTTACGGAAACACGGGCATCTTCCGCAGCCTCCGTACCACCGGTCGCCACGACGCTGTTCTGCGGAGTCAGCGGCGGACGCTTCTTCGATTTGTCGCGCTTGCCTCGCTTTTTGTCGTATCCACTCACGTCGTGCTTGCCCTGTTTACCGCCCATCGTAGGGGTAAGGCGTACACGCCGTTCGACGACAACGCTTAACAATCCCGTCACACTATATAATAGACGTTCTGCTCGCGGTCCACCAGGCTAGGCTGGCAGGCAGCCGAGCCGACGACAGCCGGGCGCGATCAACAAATATCCTACTACGTAGATATACACACGCTAGCGCGCACGCGACAAATGCGCCGATTCCACTGACGTCGTTCGCATTGATGTGAATTGCGATGGCTCCGCGTGCACCTATGCTGCACACAGCGGTGACTGCAGGCCTACGCGCGCAGCACACCTGACTGCAGTGGCTGGCCACCTCCACCCAACCAAGAAATCAAATTCCATGCAGCGAGTAGACTGTCCCATCACATTACCGATCAACGTTCGACTTCATTATGCCCATGCATGAGAACTTAACACACTAGCGCAACCCATCTACGAGCACCTCTGTATATTTATACGCACAGCTATTTGTCAATTGTCGGCAGTGCGTGTAAAGCGAAACGGTACTACACCTGCTAGATTTTAGACGATGTTATCAATTTACATCCCCTCTGATACACTGAACCTTTCGAAGGAAAGAAACGCAACTTGATGATTAAACGAATACTAACCTGGCAATACGGGTTATTCACTAAGCAGTTCGCCTTTCTTTACCCAAAGATTATTGTGGGTGCGTGGGTACACTTACGATGCTGTTTACTTTATAGCAACATGTACATTTGAGTAGGTAATCATAAGGTATGAACAAGGCAATATTTCATGTTATAAAACAATGATTATTTTTTTCCGTTTGCTAGTTCAGTTTGCAATGCTTTGCCACTTAAGAAATGAATGAGTGCTGGCTGTACTACCAATCACCCTCGCTACAGAAACCAAATATACTATCCACAGCACGATAAGGAACTATGACATTGACACCTTTATTTAAACAGCAACTGATTACGACGCAAATAAACTATCTTCATTTATACAGAGAAGAGAGGGGGAGAGAATAATAAAGCGACGTGAGAGAGGAGGCGAGAGAGAGGTAAATGAGAGTCTGTGCCTAGAAAGAATCACTGTCTAGTCACCGTCGAGAGAGAGAGGAGAGTCACTACCTAGAGTCAATCCCCACAGAAAGAGTCGCTGCCCGCAGTCATTGTCTAAAGAACGACCCACTGCCTAGAAAGTCACTACTTGAAGAGAGTGACTACTTAGAGAAAAAGTAGCTGTCTACAGTCACTGCCTTAGAGTCACTGCCTGGCGAGTCACCGCCTAGAGAATGACTGCCTAGAGATTCACAGCCTAAAGAAAGTGACTTCGTAAAGAAAGAGACATTGCCTATAGAGTCACTGCCTAAATAGTAAATGCCTAGATTATCACTGGCCTAAAGTCAGTGCCTAGAGCGAGTCACTGCCTCAAGAGAACAGCTGGCTCACTAGAAAGAGTCGCTGCTTAGAGAGAGAGAGAGAGAGAGAGAGAGAGAGAGAGAGAGCGAGAGAGAGAGAAAGAGAATGAGAGAGAGAGGGGGAGGGAGGGAGGGGGGAGGCAGGGAGGGAGCGAGAGAGAGAGGGGGATATAGAGATAGAGAGAGCATCGCTTCCTACATAACATTGCTACATACAATAACTCTTCGTAGGAAGCCAACGAAGCGTGATCCCACGTGTGAAGCTCAGCCTCGTCGCAGCTCTCGCACGAGGAAGCGTGGAGATTTCCCGTCACAGATTCCGAATCTAATCTAGCACGTTGCACACACAGACGTGTCTAGCCGCCGACTCAGTGCCATCGTCACCTACATTCAGATCGAACCCAATGCAGACAGGCAACGCCGACGACCGAGATTCGATCCAATTACTGCCAACTGCGAAATCTCGAAGCACCCGCGAACCGAAATTTTCGACCTCCTCGAGAGTCGACCACGCCACACGTAAATGTTTGATGACGAGCAGTGCTGATGATTGCTGGCTTCTACGTTGTCGCGTGGCAGCCGCCATTCCCCTACCCCTGACGTACCTGCACGTTGTACGGCACCCTCACACGTGGCCGCTAAACACGGTGCGTTAGCGATCGAACATTCGCTAAAACTCCAATCGCAAACGTATACA